TTTGATTTCTACATTGTTATATACGATAGTTGTAGGTATGATTTAAAAACAGATTTCCTTAATTACACCTTTTTGTGCAAATGCAAATTGTATTATTTGTACGTTTTGTCGAAATAAATTATTATTATTATTATTATTATGTTTTGAAACACTCAATAACTAACTGCTAATACCATCAGCTCGAAGTGAACTTGGTATATTTTTTAATATTTCTTAACGTTGTACTGAAATTAAAGAACTATTCTTTGAAAACAAAGAATCGATGAAAGCTGCGCAGTTAATTAAAAAATATACCAAAGCACACTAAAATGTAATTTAATATTTTTCATATCATTATAGTATAATTGATGTTTTGAATTTTAAGTAACGTTTTGAAGTGATTAATTTAAAACGATTGTACGAAAAAAGAAAATATATAATTTAATTGTACTTTTTACTACCTACTTAAGCCCACACAATTCCGCCCTCGCTTGTCCGTTATTGTTTGGAAGCAGACCTGGCAACCCTATTATGAATTTTGTAATGAATTACCGGATCCTTCCATGTGAAATCATCCACACTCAACCTGGAGACATAGGGACATCTGTTCCCTTTATTCCCCGCAGGGGGGATCGTGTCTGCGTAGGTGGACACGGTCTCTGGTGGAGAGTTGTAGACGATCACCCGGACCGTAAGTTACACGGCGGCACTCACGTCATTTGTCTTAAAGGTGGAGGCAGTGAGTAAGCGATGCTAAACTCCTGGTTGCCGACTTGCCGGTGACCCACCAGTTGGGCCTATGGCGCGTCGACCTTTGGACAGGATTGTGTGAAAAAGATTTTGTGTTGAAAGTTCCTCCACTCCGTGAACATTTTTGGGACTGAGTTTATGAAAATTCTGGAATTTTTCCCAAACGATTATTTAAGTTTAATATACGAGGGGCGTTCAAAAAGTTCCCGGAATAGTGGTTCAGCTTGTTCATGGTACAACCTATGGCAATGGTAACCTAATCACCTTATCTAGTAAGACCCTTGCGCATGATTACAATAGCTCCATCGTTCCTGCCATTGTTGGATTCAGCAGAAGGCTTCTTTTGGCGCCTGCCGGAACAGCTGTCGCTTTCGATTTCATGTTTTCCACAGTTGCAAAACGTATCCTCCGACGTCCATTTTCAGAGTAGAAACAGCCATTAGTATCGGGAAGCAAGATTCGGAATGTACGGTAGTTAAGGAAGGCATATTCTCGGCCATGAATTTCTACGCAACAAGCGCTGGCATGGCGCGTCATCGTGATGCAGACACCATTCTCCACTTGGCCTTATACGTCCTTCGAACCGCATCACCAAACCTCTCCAAAACTTGCACATAGAAATTTTCAGTAACAGGCAGTCCTGGCCACAGTGTAGCAGCGCCGATAGTGTCTATAAAGCTGATTTTCGCAGTTTGCACATGAACTTGAGGTTCGCGCGTTGTTCGAAATGCGACTTTAGGCCGACGGACTAACACTCACCTCCACGTGACACGGAGCAGTGGCACCACTGCGCTCTGAGACATCTTCAGACCAGTTTTTCCCGCGTGCCAACTGGCGCAGTCGCCTACCACAAGAATATGAACCCTGTATTATTGCTAGTGTGGCGACGGCAAGCCCATTCCGGGAACTTTTTGCATGCCCTTCGTAGGTAATAATTCTCTCAGTGATAAAAAAAAAAAAAAAAAAAAAACACCTAATGTAAATATTTAAAAAACCAACAGTTTAAAAAGTATACGGAGTCACTTGTACACTAATAGGGGCTCGAATTTCGTTGGCACTTTTCATAACCGATGAAAGTGCACATTGAACCAAATGTTTTGTATATTTCATCTTATTTTAAAGCAGCACCTAAGTTTGTATTTTTGTTCGATTTTTAATGAATGTAGGACAATGTAGTTTTAATGTAAGATTATTTCGCTTTTTATCTAAACCCATCACGTCATCACCCATCACGATACCCAACCCATCACCCATGACGAAACCGATCATCACCCATCACGATACACGAAAACAAATTCGTTGCAACAAACAATAAATTGTCTGAATTTCTAATATCATATTCACGTCATCACTAAGCATAAAATTTAAATTATGAGCAGCACAATGCATCGTTAATTCATTTCATTTTTTTTCTAAACACCATTGTAAAATCCATTCATAACTGCTACGTCATCATATCCCTGACCACTACAATTAGATAAATCAATTCTCGTTTTTTCGCCCTCGACAACACAAAAATTCAAATCTTGTGCTCGTTGATCTTCGACACTCATGGGTGATTAATTCATTTTTACAATTTTTTGAAATATAAAGAGCAGTTTTTGCGAAATTTGCGCTGAAAATTTAAAAAAACCTTTTTTCTCAAAAACCGTTCTAAATGTTTTCTTCACATTTTTTGGCATATGTAACAAGGGAAGGTAAAAATGGTGCTAGTTTCATTTTCGGCTGCAGCTACATTTTTCGAAAATGCCAAAAGAAGGTAAGAATGTAAAATAAAAAATTGGAGATAGCAATTTTTTTTTACTTTAAACAAAGTCTGTTGTAAAAAAGGTCTTTATAAAAGGTTATATACATGTATTTTTTTTAAAATAGCTGATTTCGCTTAATTAGTGTCTACAAGTTATATTTCCAAAAATTTTTTCTGAAAACCCGCACGAACTAATATCATTAAAGTTTCTCCTCGTATTATTAACGAATGATAAATAAATAGATAATAAATACATACACATATATGTATGTAAATGATAAATAAATACATGCATATATGTGTATGTAGGTAGGTATGTATGCATGCATGCAGGCAGGCAGGCAGGTAAGTAGGTAGGTAGGCAGGCAGGTAGCCTCTGAACTGAGAACACTGCGGTTCGACAAAATTTTTAAGTCCGAAATCAAACATTAGTTTAACTGACTGCGCGCTAAGATGCGGGCGCGGTCAGTGCCTCTCCCTCCGCTCGCCCGAATAGTTCTTTCGACCTTCCCCCCGTCTGTTCTAAACTACTCGTGTCCGTAAGCGCAAGCGATCACGCAAACCTCAGTTTCCCCCACTCGGAATCCCAAAGTTATGGAAAGTTCTTTTAATTTTATAAATCTGGTTGGAGGTAGGTTGAAACTATGTACGCAGTAGAATTATTTGGTCCAATTGCTGAAGGCGTTCTGAAGGGAATTCGGGTGTATAATTTCCATTAATTCTGTCTTGTGTCCTTGTCTCGCACCGTGATTACAAAACACACGTGCGGGTCTAGTTGCGTCGTAGAAGTAGGCCCAGGAGGACATAATTCTTACTAATGGCTACTGGGTGGCGCCGCAAAGGCTCGAGGGGGGAAGATATGTCCTTTCTAGAAGGGCGTTTATAAGTAAACAGAGCGGCGGCCTGCTCGAGGTCGCGGGTGGTCGGGAGTCTTCCACACAATAGGGGGTTCCAGCTGCGCGCAGCGAATCGGTAGGTGGGGGGTCGCGTGCGCCTTGAAAACGTCTCGGCACGAGAGGGGCGCGTGAGAAACCGCTCGGAGGCAGGCTACTATCGGAAAAATATTGAAAATTAGTAATTTTTAATAATAATGTATTCGATAACGCCATAATATATATGACAGACTTTCTCGCAGTAGTTTGTATTTTAATCTCTTTAGCCTGAACTAGGTTTTCGGTTGTGGCTGATTCTCTTCCCAGATATCTTCTTTGGTTGAGAAGTTTTGCTGGTTCGAGCCTTTGTCAAGGAATATTATTTGTCATAATTCTCTGTTGCCGCAGAAAAATAATTGAAAATTCCAAAACCTTTATTGAAAACGATTTGAAGCAATTCTAATTTCAAATAAAATTAATTATTATAAATAAACTGGAAGTGTGTACGTGATTTTCGAATTTTCAATTTTTAAACTATTTTTCACATTTCTTGTTCGATTTGTAAATCGTATGTACCATCAAATCAATTGTTCGCCTTTCTGTGCATCTCTATGAACTGATTTGAGTAAAATAATGAATATATGAACATTAAATTTAAATACGATATAACCAAAAGCTATGGGACCAACTTGTATATCGCTAATGGTTCCGAAATTATTATTACTTTCTCGCATTATGTATTCTTCATAAGAAGAGAAAGTTATTTAATCGTGCGTCGGAAACGGCCAAATTTCGCTAGAAAAAACATTGCCGGGTTCTTTTAACGAAAAAGTGGATAAATCCTATAGTTATATTTAGAAACAAATCCTCTAATTCGTGGTGGAGCCAGAATTCATGTTTTCTTGGTTCTTGATACCGAAAAATCGTTTGACGGCAAAACGTCTGTCAACACTATTGCCAAAAACGTTCAGTTGATATTCTTCAAAATTGATATTCCCTGATTGATGTGAACGGTCAAGAGGCTTTGGGAGTTTCTGCCGGATAGCCTACAACTTCACTTTCTAACGGATATTTTCATTATTGAAGCTTTTTTTTACGTGAATTTACATTTTCATGTCTTTCATGTCTTTGTCCGAGTTCGATTCATTCGGCGCTTCTGTGGCGTAGTAGTATGAGAGCACGTTAACTGAGTATTTGAGTTCGAGTGTCTGAGCGGAAAAATAATTTGCTGCTTGAAAACACTTTTGCTGGTTTATGTAGTAGTATAATGTTTCGAAGCATTTAGAAACAATGCGAGAAGGTGTGCGCTTTGCAGTACCACTAGTTTCTTAATGAAATATTATCTTTGAAGTTAAAGCTTTAATTAATGTCATATATTTTATTTAGAATGTGAATAGTTTTTGTGCAACTTTGATTGATCATAATAAATAATGCGAGAAAGTATGTGCTTTAGTACTAGTTCCATTTTAGTGAGGTGCGGTAAGGAGTTTCAATGTTTTTAACAAATGTTGCTAATCTGCAGTGTATCCGCTACCACCGATTCCACAATTCCTCTTGACGATGTCATGGGCTTATAATACTCGGTCTTGTGACCATGGGATGCAATGGTTGCAACGAACCGTGACGGAAGCAGCCGGTGATATACGAACACAAAAAGACTGCAAGGACAAGGACAGACACACAAGAGAGAGGGAGGGCCGGTGCAGTTGTCAAATCGTCATGACTTTCTTGCGAATAATTGTTGTCAAGTAGGTTGTCAACATTATTGTCATAAATTATAATGGAGAATTCTATTATCAGAAAGCCATTTTAATACAGTTGTCTTTAACAGTTGTGCGAATATGAAAATTATTTAAGGGCCGTTAACCTCACTCATACGTCACAGGAATGTTCGTGGATCAAACCGCAAAATGTTATTTATTGGAAACTCACTATTGGATCTTATTACAAAGACGTCAGAATCTGGTGAAATTTTTACATGAATCTCTTAATTTTTTCATCGAAGGATCGATCGACGCAGTAAATTAGGGGAACTGTAAATATGAATCATAATCTTCATTGTATAGTTCTTAAAAATATCGTAAATAGTACGTGTACTTTTGGTGTTTTATTTTCTGTTGTTTAATGTGCTTTTATTTTTATGCAGGGTCGTGGCAAACAATTAATAGTGTGAGATAATAGAGGCATTGTCAAATATTGTCAATTGAAGCTGAAACCAATGTACGGTTTTTAATCTTCTTCAGGAACTTGTTCCTGTGAAAATAATAAATAAATTTATTTTTTTAAAATAAAGGATCACAGATGGCTTTTGACAAGCTGCATATTTTACCTATTGCAGTTTTTGTACTTTTTCCAGCCACATTTCTTATAACGTATGTTGTTTATTTTATTCTTGATCACTCATTATAATAGATTAATTTGCTTGTTTTATTCAAATTATTTTTATGTTTAGGTATATTGTAGCTGTTTTATTAAAACATGTGGAAGCTGAATTTCCATATATAAGTGATACTGGCACTTACTCACCTGAAAGCTGTGTTTTTGGACAACTTCTCAACTTTGGAACTATGCTTAGTATGATTCAGATTTTTCTATGAATATTTAGAATGAAAAGTTTTTTTTATTTTATTTTTGTTGTAGTTCATTACATAGTTATTCACACACTACATATACTTTATGTGATAGAGTAATTTATCAAATTCCAAGGAATCAAAGAAGTTAAAAACAATATTTGAAGATTATTTTGCAATCCATGATTTTTCCTGTTGCAGTGGCATCAGTTGTGTATGTACGGTTTCAACAAGTTCAGGAGTATTTCAAGACATATCCTCTTCATGTTTCTGTTAGAAAGTTAAACAAATGTGGTGTATGGTTTGGTCTTATATCCTGTCTTGGCCTCAGTTTTGTGGCTAATTTTCAAGAAACCAATGTAATAACAGTTCATCTTACTGGAGCTTTTATGTGTTTTGGCTTTGGTACTTTATATTTTTGGGTTCAGGTAAGTGTATTTCATTTATTCTTAAAAATACTGCATTTTATTGCAGTAATAAGTTTCTATGTACACAAATAATAAAATATTTATTTTATTAACAATTTAATGTCTGAAATAAAAAAAAAATTAGCATTATTTCGTGTGAATTTAATAAAATCTCTATTTGGAGATTTTTTTCTCTCATTCTCGGAAATGAACCAGCTCAAAGAATAGTATGAGAATATTTTATTTTTAATTAATTGTTTAGTTGTTACAAACAAATATTATACCCTAAAATATTGCTTCAAAATTCAATGGTTATATTTTAAGAAAAAAGATTCTTTCTTTCTTTCTTTATCTTTCTTTGCCCTTTTTTTTTCTTTTAGTTCACCAAATTTCCTTTTACTAAGAATATCTCAGAGTTGTTATTAGTTTCTTAATGAACAATAAATAAAAGGAATATAAGGGCAGACTTAACAGGAGCATATTTGGTTTTTGATATTTACCTGCATAGGCTTTAAATCTAGTGACTTGTAGGCTTCAAGGTTGATTGTATCTGTATGTAAACGTTGTGTGTAAATGGTTTTATGCAATCGCTGGAAAATAGGCACCATCCTCCTGGCAGTTGGTTATAAAAAGAATAATAGTGTATCTTTAGAGTAAATGAAAATGATCAGGATTCTATAGTTATACCATGTTGGATTGCATCCTCCCAAATAACGAGAGACACTGAGAGAAATGAGAGTAAAACTACTAGAATATAATAGTAAACTACTAATTTAGTATGTACTTTTACAGCAAACTATTTATGAATTGACATTGAGAGGTGTCTCTGGGTATTCAGGTCCCCATGGCAGGCATAGAATTGTGGCCGTGACAGTTTACTTCATATTAGGGTGGTTGTTATTTGTTTTAGGAGGTACACTCTAATTAGTGCCCCTTGTGACTGTCACTATTGTATAGCCCCTGGCACTTGCTATGTCTGCCATATCCTAGGTACTCCTCTGATTAACACTATTGTGCACTTCGCTGGTTTGAGTTGCTACGGCAAGTTAAAGATCTACTAGTTCATCTTTCATTTGCCGAAAGTGAGGTACTGGCAGGTGTCCTTGATAACTCTTTCTGTAATGACTCCATAGGGGCAATACCATTACCATTCATTTGAAGGTAAAAAAAATATATATACCATTATTTATAAATATTTGTTCTAAAATATTTCATTGCTATGGTCAAGAAAAGTATTTTATCATAGAGTTTTATACAACAAAAAATTTTAGGATAAGGAGAAAAGAAGAATAAAATATGTAAATATTGCATGTATCTCAAAATCTCTGTTCTTTGTATTACCATATTTTTGTTAGTAATAATTAAAAAGAATTCCTTTTTTTTTCAATATTGCAGCCTTGATAGTTGATGGATAGTTGTAGATGAATCCATTGTCTGGAATGGAGATATTTGTATTTGAGATAATTTATTTAAAATAGTATGCTGTAACAAGTTACTTCCTTGAAACTAAAATGGACTATTCCAGTAGTATTTGAGAACTATCACACACTTCATTAGTGGAAGAAATCATTATTTATGTTCTAATTGTGCTTGCATTTAATGATAAGAACTATCTGGCTGATTGAGGTTGTTTATAGAATTTAATTTCATTCAAATATTCAGAATTAGCCAACTTCTCCAGTACACAAGAAAAGGGGGCAGAGGACTTAGAAAAATTTCCTTGGTTTTTGTCTGAATTGAAGATGTGAAAACATCTTTAAACAGAAAACACAATCATTTTTGTGACACAGGTGGCTTCCTATACAAACTTGATAAAAGTGATGCATCAAGAATGCATTTGGATTAATTCCAATTACACAATTAGGTTGAGAATAATTGAAATGTAATCCAATGAAGAGGGGCAGGAGTGGAGGCAGACAGAGATGGTAGAGTGTGCTTGGAATGGTGGGCGGAGGGGCATTGAGTAGGTTCCCTTAGGATTGTAAATTAAATTACTTCCATTCTACACTTTAGAGAAAATTCACCCCTATTCTTGTCTAATAAATGAGAAGACGTAAAATAGTAAGGGACTAATGTCTGTCCAGGTAACAATGAGTTATTTCCCCTTCATTTCTATAGAAAAAATTCAACCAAATGTACCACTCTCAAATTTGGTCATTAAATACTCAAATTATAAAAAAGCAATACAGTCCATTTTCTTCTTTCATTCAGCTTTTAAAGCTAGAATAATGAATGAATGCACATGCAAACGCTTCTGAAACTCTTAATTTACCACCTTTTAAATCTGCTTTGTATTACGTTCACTCATTGAACTTCAACTTTGAGAGCATTTATTATCTTATTTCACTATCTATGTTGTTTACAACAAACAGGGGCTTGCTAGGCCTGTTGGAATAATGAAATAAAATAAAATAATTAAAAGAACAACTATACTGAAAACACTCAAGTGCAGTGATGAATCACAGTGTTTTGAAATGCTTGTGGGCAAGAAAGACGTGTCTACCCCAACAATTGCGATGCATCATATCCTTGAAGAGGCCCTTCACTTTCATTTCAGTTATGATGCATTTATAGAACTTTTTTGTGGAAAAAAGAAGCCTAAAAATACGGATTAAGAAGTGTCTAGGGAAGTCTTTCACTTGGGTTTCTTGTCTTTGTCGCAGAGTGCTGATTCATTGTGTATACACACATACATATGCCTTCCAATTTGACAAGAGACTTTGAATTCAAAATTTGTTCTGCAGAAAATGTAAAATGTATTCTATTGAATTGCATATTTTGCAAAAACTTTCTATTATTGTACTAATTTTCTTGAAATTTATTTCCTCTACAAAAAAGTGTATAGTGAATGTTCAAAAAGTTTTATTTAAAAAATCAGGTTTTTCAATACACAAATTAAGCATTGCATATTGAATACATGTGGTGCCCCAATTGAAGATGTGGCCAGATGCAAACCTGTCTACCCTGTATAATTGTTACCAGTGGGCTTTAGCATTGAGAACATTACCTGTAGATGTTAAAAGAATCAGTGATGTGGTGTTTCTTGATCTTTAATTTCAATTTCTCAGAAATATTGTATGTGTCACATACATGTGGCACTTTGAAGACGATACTGTAGTGATTGTTTGGCTGCCTTTGAATTACGTTTTTCGTATGACAGCTATCATTTTTCTCTACGATAAAAAAAATATACTCTTAAACAAGTGATGCTACAGAATAGCACAGACTTTCTTGTACTAGTTAATTTTCTAATTCCTTTGACTGAGGCTAGTAATTCAGTCGTACCCCATCCTTTTCCAAGCTGCCATCTATCGCCGGCCAAATATTATTTTTACACATTTCCTCAATTTTTCGGTTTCCTAATGGCAAGAGTAGTCTCGTGCTGCAGGGAAATTTTCGGTGAAAAAATTGGTGCTGTTTTTTCTAAAATGGCAATTAAGCGTTTCAGTAAATGCGAAATTGAAGCTCCTTTCAACAGAAAACAATTGAGTTTTCGAAAACCTTTATTGGAAGTCGTTCGCGCTTTCACTCACTTATGCAATAATGTTTACAAATCGCTGGAAATACGCATTTTAAAGGCGTGAGGGATATTTTTAAAAAAGAGTAGTTTATGAATCTAGTACTATAAAAGCACGTACTTTCTCGCAATATGTTATCGTTATGTACGACTGGACGACTAGATATGTGATTCATTAATTTCAAACAATTTACGCGTTTTAATATTATTTAGGGGGGGGGGTCCCTCAAACCAAATCGATGATCGCATTACTCATATGAAAGAGAAAAAGAATGTAGACTTCCAAAAAATCAGCAGCGTGGGACGATCTGTTACAGAGATATAATAAAAACGTTTTTTCATGTTTTATTTTATTTCTCAGCGTCTATTGCGTGAATCACGCCGAAATAAATTGGAGAGACAAAGTAAAATAGTTGAATTTGGAGGTATTTGTGTGAACTAATTTTGACGCCAAATTCAAATAGAAAATAAATTTTTGAAATTGATTTTCGACAAACTAACGTTGAAGTACTGTCTTACTTTTCTCCTAAAATGTGTATCCTAACATTCGATAACACATATTTTTTTCAGATTTTTAAACAACGTGGACGATAGTGAAAAATAGGTAAAACTAATTGTATCAGTTCAAAAATTTGAAATAAAATTTAATTTGAGAGTGGTAATGGAATTTAAAATAATTTGAAAGTAAAACATCTCTGCATGTGCAAATTACGATGAAAAACGAGGGAAGAAACTAGGTCATGAGGATCACATCGCACGAGGGATATTGAAATCGATTGAAGTAGTACAAACAGTGTTCGTTTGGTTCGAACACATAGGGGGCCGTCCATAAATTACGTAACGCAAATTTGGAGTATTTTGAATACCCCCTCTCCCCCCTGTAACCACCAGTAACGCGCGCATTAACCCCCTCTAATGCTTACGTAACGCTCGCAAAGAGCCCTCCCCCCCCAATTCCAATGCGTAAAACTCAATTTTACAGCAGAAACAAGTTGTATTAATTGTATATGTTTTGTACATTAATATTTATTATAATTAACCCGAGAATTAATTGATAGTGCGGACTGCGAATAACAATAAGTTTGGAGACAATTTTTAATGAAAGAAGGTCGCATAGGTGAGAAAATTTCTGACAAGTCGCCAACATTCTGTCGTGGATGACACATAGGCTCAGAGACTACTGCATCAGGTGATTGGATATTAGAGTATACTATTGATCTGTTTTGAATATTTTCTTCGTAATATAAAAGATGCAATCAATACCACTATCATTGATGAAAAATATTTCCATTTATTATAACAATTTAATAAAACGAATCATTTCAGAAAATGTTGAGATATTTAAAAAAATAAATATCGTAACAATAAACTATGATCCCCCTTGCCCTAGCGTAACGCTGCCTCAAACCCCCTCCCCCCTCTTCAGCGTTACGTAATTTATGGACAACTCTTAGTCAGTGGTTCCATAGTTATTAGTTCGTTTTTAACTTCTTCACAATTGTGA